TCTTGGTCATGGTGGTCCGGTCGCCGCGACAGAGCGTCGGGAACGATATTATCGACTCCACGTTTGTACTTGCAGTCGAAGTCGTACTCCTGCAGCAACTCCATCCATCGTGCCTGACGTCTAGTCAACTTGGGCTGGGTTGGGAAATGCTGAAGAGTAGCGTGGTCGGTGTAGACAACGAAGTGTGTCCCATCCAAGTAATATCGCCATGTCCGAAGTGCGTGCACAACCGCCAATAGTTCCTGTTCATGGGTCGGATAATTGCGTTCGGCGCTGTTCAGTTTACGGGACGTGAACGCCACGGGTCTGGACTCACCATGTTCATCAGTCTGGAACAGGACAGCGCCTAGTGCGAATCCAGACGCGTCGGTTTCAACTGTGGTCGGCAGATCGGGGTCGAATATTCGCAACACAGGCGCTTTGCTGATCGCCTCCTTCAGGGTGGTGAAAGCGCGTTCTTTGTCCTCGTCCCAGGAAAATTCCACGCCTTCACCTAGCAGAGCCGTGAGAGGGAGAGCGATGTTAGCAAAGTTGTTGATGTATGTGTGGTAGAACTGTGCGAGGCCAATGAATTGTTGCACATCCTTCTGCTTCGATGGGCGAGGCCATTCCCGGATAGCCTTGACGTGGCCGGCGCTGGTGTGGATGCCGTCCTTCGAGATGACATGTCCTAGGAACTCAGTCTCCTCTTGCATGAAGGAGCACTTGCTCAACTTTGCATAGAGGCCATTCTTGCGGAGGAGTGCCAGCACACTTCGGATGTGGGCAATGTGCTCTTGTTTCGTCTTGGAGTAAATAAGGATGTCATCAAGATAAACAACAACCCATTTATCTAAAACCGGATCCAAAACCTTGAACATCATGTTGGAGAAAGATGCGGGAGCATTAGTGAGACCAAAGGGTACCACATTGAACTCGTAATGTCCGTACCGACAGCGAAATGCTGTCTTGTGTGTGTGAGGCTCAAATATCCGTTGTTGGTGGTATCCTGACAGCAAGTCCAGTTTCGAAAAATATCGAGCCCCTCGGAACCTGTCGATGAGCTCGTCGATGCGAGGGAGCGGGTGGCGGTTCTTCCTTGTGATCCGGTTGAGTCCACGGTAGTCGACGCACATACGGAGCGCGCCATCCTTTTTTCTGACGAAAAGGACGGGTGCACCATAAGGCGACGTGCTGGGCTTAATGAATCCTTTGGCGAGGAGGTCGTCGAGCTGTCTCCTGAGCTCGTCCAGTTCTGCAATGGAGAGGCGGATCACAGGGCGGAACGGCGGGTCTGCGTTGGGGTCGGTCTCAATTTTCATAGCATCCCCTCGGTCTGGTGGTAGACCAGCAGGGAGTGAGTTGGGAAGACGTCTGCAAACTCCTGAAGTACAATGGGTTGAACTTCGGGCGGAAGATCAGGCGTGCAAGGTTTAGTGTCGTCGTCATTGTCGTCATCGCCGTCGTTATCGTTGCCTTTGTCACTGCCGATTTTCACCAGAGCCATGAACACTTCCGCGTCAGGCTGAGCTGCAAGAGTATGAAAGTGCAAGTGACTCATCAAGAGGCCACGGGACTTAGCTGTAATGGATGAGGGTGCGAAGCCTCGACACGTCCAATGAACGTTGTCGCCATTATGTGTGAAGTGAAGGTCGTTAGTGCGCCAGTCGATGTTGGGGTTGATGTGTGTGAGCCAAGGTTTGCCGAGGATGAGGTCGTATTTTTTGAGAGGGTAAAGGAGGGTGTTGATGGTGTCGGAATAGGAATCTCGTTCGAGTGTGATGGAGGCAGAGTGGTTGGTGATGGAAAAAGTGCCGTCGGGGAGAACAATGGGAATGGGGGAACAGGGATGGAGAGGAAGTGAATGTCGTTTTTGAAAAGAAGAGCTGATAACATTTCCTTCTGCTCCTCCGTCAATCAAGATGTGGGCAGGGCGCCCGTTAATAGAGCCAATAAAAGTCAAGAGGGTGCGCTCGGCCTCAGCCGTTGTGAAGGACTGCAGCCGAACGGTACGCTTACGAAGACGCTTAAGCTGGGTCTTGGAGAGGGCTGGTGCTAGAGTAGCGAGAGAGGCAAGTGGGTCCAGGTCCACTGCCTCAGACGACCTAGACACCACGGACGGGTCGTACGTGGGTTGTGGTTTGTCTGGGACGGTAGGCGGGACATCGGGGGCATGGTGAGATTCGATGGTTGTTTTTGTTGTTTTTGTTGATTTTCTTATTTGTGCATTTTTGCACGATTTGAAGGGAGCGAGCATAGGCAAAGTGGAATTGTTTTTATTGTTTGAAGAATAATCACTTAACTCTGAGTGGTGCTCACTCCCCTTGTCCAGAAGAGAAGGGGAGGGAACTTCAGCGACCAAGTCCTGGACTAAGCCTGATCGCTGGGGGCGTTTCCCGCCGAAGCAGGACCAACACCCGCGGCAACCGAGAGGTTGTTCACATTACCGCCGCGGCAGTCTCGCGCCATGTGGCCGTCTTGTCGGCACTTGTAGCAAGCACCTCGGGCTCGGAGGCGAGCGCGTTCGGTGTCGTTGAGTGGGGCCAGGTTGTGGCGACCGTTATTGTTGTTGACCTGGCGGCGGAGCGCGTTGAGCTCCAGCCGCAGGTTGTCTAACTCCATGGCCATCGGGTCGGGCAGGCTGGCGGTGTGGGCAGTGAGGAAGGCCTGGGCAGGGGTAGGGGTGGTATGGTTGGCATTGGGAGGGGTGCGGTTGGGTAAGGAGAAATTGTAGATGGTGTCAAATTGCTCAGCAGCCTGACACATCTCGTGGATAGACACCGGGCTGCGGCTGTTGATGGCGAGGCTCATTAACATCTGGCGCAGGGCTAACGGGGCGCCTGCCAAGAAGCACGACTTGGCGGAGTCCTCGAGCATGATACGAGCCTCAGGGTGAGTCTCGTTGGTGCACAGGATGGCCAGGTAGCGACGAGTGCGACTGACATAGTCAGCAACAGTGCCGGTCATCTTGATTCCGAAGAGGAGAGTTCGGACATGGTCGTAAAATCCGGCCGGGCGGAACTCCGCTCGGAAAAGTTCCTCGAAGCGGAGCCAGGGTGTCGTGTCTGGTGCTTGTAAGCCGTCCCACCAGAGAAGGCCGGTGGGGCCGAGGTACGCAACAGCCGTGACCGTGTGGGCTTCTTCGCTGATACGAGCACCAACGAAAAAACGGCGAACAGTCGTTAGCCATGCCTCGCAAGCGAAGCCATCCCTCACTCCGTTGAAGGCAGCGGGGGATGGGTACCTGTAGGAGGGTAACAGGACCTGGACAGGGGCAGGGGCGGTGGTGGGGGTAGGTTCGTTCATAGTGAGGGACGAAAAAAAAAGGGACAACAGTTGGTCGATCAAGGAGGGATTTAATTGGTGGATCAGGGTAAAAATTTAACAAAGTATCGTGGTACAGGGAAAACGTGGTTCAGGGACAGAGGGACAGGGGATCGAAAAACCTTTGCTACCATGTAATAGCTTTAGGCAACTGAGGGCAGGGGCTCGAGGTGGACAGGATGGAATGCGTGCTGTATTTAGGTGGTAACTAGCTGGTCTATTTATCTATGTCTACGGACCGGTTCCGGCCCGGTCGGTGGTCTATAGCCGGGGCCCCAGTCCTTTCGGAGTCGGGGCTATATTCGGGGTTATCCTGTTACACCCTAGCAGAGTTCGAGGCCAAGCGCGAAAAGGAGTAACGTTTTTTTTTAAGATGGGGAGGTGCAACAGGTATGTACAACTGTTTATTCGAGAATGATGTCATGGTCATAACCATGCTGCGCCTAGTTTCTAGAGCATTCCAACACAACTGTGTCTAGTATATAAGAGCCCTTCAAACGTAGGATTAGACAACAATCAATCATCGAATAAACCTCTGATTCCACCCTAGAACCCCTCCGACTCCTGACTATTTGCAAGGCAGGAGGGTTTGACTGCCGTGCGCAAACGGAGAAGGCCAAAACTTACCCTGAATCATAAGGCGGAGCGCATGGATTTCGTGCGAAAGTACGAGCACTGGGCAATCGATGATTGGAAACGAGTCGTTTGGTCCGACGAGAGTAGGGTCAACCGCGTTGGATCCGATGGGGTCCTGTGGGTCTGGAAAAAGGAAAGTGAGAAATCTCTGGACGATCGGCTTGTCCGGGAGGAGGTCAAGTTCGGCGGTGGTTCCATCATGCTATGGGGATGCATGACTTGGCACGGTGCCGGATTCATTTCTAGGATCGAGGGAACCATAGACGCCAGTCTCTGTGTCAAAATCCTGGAGGAATGTCTCCCGCTTACACAGCGCTGGTACAAGATCAAGCCTAAGGATATGATCTTTCAACAGGACAACGACTCGAAACACACTTCTGGCACTGCAATGAATTTCATCAAGCAGCACAAGTACAATTTGTTGTTCTGGCCGCCCAACTCTCCGGATATAAATCCGATCGAGCACCTCTGGGACTACGCAAAACGCCAGTTAGGCAAGTACCCGGTGCCTCCGAATGGCATGATCGAACTATGGGAAAGATTTCAGGTGGAATGGAACAAGATTCCCCCTTCTATCTGCCAAGGCTTGATTGAGAGTATGCCAAGAAGGATCGAAGCTGTCAAGAATGCCAAGGGGGGCCACACTAAGCACTAAGCAGGTCATGAGTAAACATATTGTCGTTGTTGAGCCAGAAGAAATAAAAACCATGTCCATGGGAGAAATAATGAGTAAATGGTATATTTTGAACTTAATTCTGTGTACAACTCGCAATAATTTCCTCCGCTTCCCTCAAATGCTACAGATTACTGCCCATTGCACTGACATAACATTCTGCACCTTTCATGAGCTACAAAAGCCGGGTTCAGAAATGATTGACAAATGTGCCGCGAAAGTGAAAATCATTTACTCATTATTTTCGGTAGTGTATGTGCCGCTTCGGGCCTGGGTGCTACACCGCTTTTATAGTTTTCAGAAATCTTTCAACGGCATAAACATTCTGGAACCTGTCTTACCCGGAATATTCTAGAAGAAGCTGGATGTGGCTACTAGGATCCTGAGATTATGTAGTGATCGATTGAACTTGAAAAATGGTTTCAATGAGGTCGCCGTACTCAATCATTTCATTCTTCATGAGAATAGTCACAACAGCATTGCGACCTTCAGCGATAGGAAGTACAGTGCCACGGCTATAACATTCAGCTAAGGAGTATTGGGTGTTTGTCACGGATAGCACCATAGCGTGTGGTGCAGAGTGACAGTTGAGCTGCGCACACAATTGCTCATATTGATTTGTGGCTACTTCTACGCGCTCACGCGCTTGCACGCGTACCTCTGCCACCGTATGCTCGATCAACATATGTTCAACGAAGTATCTTTATTGATATTGCCATTGTCCGGCCCGTCTAGAACCATTGTACCTGATTCATACCTTTGTGCTATTCCTAGCAAATATACCTCGCGTCCCGTAGTAGCCATCCGAGTACCCTGACCAAGAATCCTAGAAACACATAAATAGAGCCATAGAATCCATAGCATATAACCTCAGTCTGCAATACATTTCTTCCTTACCTTGTCCACTGTCTGTCTCCTCCATAACACATATCCCACTCTTCCAAGGCTGTTCCTGACAGTGTTAAGATAATAGAATGTTGAACAAAAAGGCAATTTGCAAAAAACATGAAAATGTTGTAACCTTTCCTCAAAGAACTGTATGAAACGTGAATCAACAACCTCGCGCTGAATGCAGCACCTCCATGTGCAGGCCACCATGGCCGGTTGCTCATATCGATGGACAGCATTCCTCCCCGCCAAACGGGCCGACAGGAGTCCGTTGAGGTTGATTAATGACTATGCCTTGCGTTGGTTGCGCCCGCCAAATGGTTAGGGATAAGGAGAGAAGAGGGAGGTAGAGAGAGGCGTGTAGAGTGTGAATAGAGTGTGTGTCTTGGGGAGTCATTTTAACATACTCTATCTACGTAATAGAATCGCTAACTAAAAGTATCTAAAACTACGTCACCGGAAAATTTGTAAAGTAACCCTTAACTTTATAAATTTTCCGGTGACGTAGTATTAGGTACTTTTAGTTAGCGATTCTATTAGTAAAATGATTTCCATTAGCAACCAGATTTCAATCTCGTAACAGTGTTGCTACTCCAAAAAGCAAGGCTGGCCGTCACATTCATCGTTGGGATTGAGAGTTGGAAATAAAACGCTGTTGTTTACGTCTGATCCGCCTCCTGATTATGGTAAAGAACGATCGAACTGTCAGTTTGATGGCATCCAACAATCTTGATTAAGGCCGAAGTCACATTCGCTTCGAAATAGTCGAGAAAGAGATGGGTCAGCTTGTGGTGGAATATCGTGGAGTTCGCATGGCATGTAGCACCCAGAGACATACGAAACACGGTGGTAGCTGGAAAAAGGGAACCGCTCCCCAGTCTGAACACCCATTTCGGGAGCGGGTACATTACCTTTGGCTGTGGCGAGAACACCCTCATTCCACAGCTCCTTAGCAGGGTGATCTTCAGCTTTGGTTCCTAGCTGCGGCGAGTACACCCTCATTCCACAGCAAAGAGACCATGCCTCGGGCTCTGCCGCGTATATTGTAGAATAGCTAAAGAAACAGTGCGTAAGGAGCCTGTCATCTGGAAGACGAACAAAAAAGGAACCGCTTCCTAATCTGAACACCCGTTTCGGGAGCGGGTACATTACCTTTGGCTGTGGCGAGAACACCCTCATTCCACAGCTCCTTAGCAGGGTGATCTTCAGCTTTGGTTCCTAGCTGCGGCGAGTACACCCTCATTCCACAGCAAAGAGACCATGCCTCGGGCTCTGCCGCGTATATTGTAGAATAGCTAAAGAAACAGTGCGTAAGGAGCATGTCATCTGGAAGACGAACAAAAAAGGAACCGCTTCCTAATCCGAACACCCGTTTCGGGAGCGGGTACATTACCTTTGGCTGTGGCGAGAACACCCTCATTCCACAGCTCCTTAGCAGGGTGATCTTCAGCTTTGGTTCCTAGCTGCGGCGAGAACACCCTCATTCCGCAGCTTAGTTCCTGCCATATACATGGAGCGCATGATCGCATTTCAAAAGAGGGAAAGAGGACGGCGGAAGGAAGACTTCGTCAAAAAATGGGTAAAAGAATGGGAGAAAAGGCACGTGACCAAATTAGCGTCACTTTTTGCCGTCTTTTCAACCTTCCTCTCATCTCCCACCCCGCTTGGCCAATCAGCATCCATCAC